GAAGCGCTAATGTGAGTTAAATAATGTAACTTTAAATTCTTTTATGCAGCATCTCACTTTAAACCTCCATTAGTTAATACAGCTTTTGACTAATGCTGGCATTATTTTATGCAGTCCACCCTTGGGAACTAAGGAGATACGTCCAGATTTTGTGAGGTGAGAGTAATATGTTAGGCCACAGAATTTCTGGACTAAATGTAATTGTTTCATGTCCTCATGATCTAATGAATCAAGTGTGCAAGTATTTTTTCAGGTTAAGTTGAAATTTATTTATCAGTATTCTGGGCCGTTTTAGGTCCCTCTTCATTTGTTGTACTATTGAGTCTCATTCGAACGCATCAATTTCCCACTCTCGTCTGACTATGCTTAACGGCTTACTGGATCCGCCTTTTAGTTCTGGAAAATAAAATAATGTTTCGCTCTCCAGTTACATATCTTGGGTGTCCGCAGAGATATGCAACAGGGTACATAGCTCTACTTTTGTCTCTTGTCTGTTCCTTTCTGTGTCTCCTCGGGCATTCAATGTCATTACTCAGGTTCTGTTCGCCGAAAACTCGGGATTGTATCCCAAGCTCTGATGAGTGCTTCCCTAGGACATCGCACTTGGACAGAGAGCTGTGAAGGTATTTCGTTAGCGAGCTTACAATTTACATTTACAATTTAGCGATTTTACATTTACAATTCATTCCATTCATTGATCTCCACTAGAGCAAGTTTCAGTCGCTATAAGTGTGGATATTTCTGTTTCTGAGCGCATGCTCAGAAACAGAAATATCCATAGTTTTCAAGGCATCGCCATATTTGTCCCCAAGCATGATTGGCACATCATAATGGCAACCGGAAGTACTAGTGTTTCACCAATATTATGTGGCTTCATTGACTCAGCAATAAAATGTGATACTTTGAGAGATGCTCTCAGAACCTTTGATGGCATTGTCACTTGTTTATTCAAGAAACTTGTTTGACCCTTCAACAATATAGCATGCCGTTTGAAGAAGCCAATGTCTTTATTTTTATGCTCAGGATGCCTAGTAACCAAGTGTCGTGCGAGTTTTGTTGGTTTCATGCTGTCGTTAGCCAGCACCTCAGAACAAACCACACACTGCGGTCGTTGCTCATGATTGACGGGTGTCCATGAGAAGCCCAGTTCCAGGTATTCATCTTGATACTTCCGTATTTTGCCACTTGAGGATTTTTTGGTGGCACTTCGTAAAATATTAGCATCTGCACTTGTTGACGCTTCTCTAAAACCGACATGTGCTGCACATTGTGCAGCTTGATTATTGGCGCCACTATCACCTGTATTTTGCACTTTTCTTGGCGGAGCATTATCATCTGATGGAGGACTAGTAATATTGCTGCGTTTATTAGCAGCCCGCACAAGCCACTTATCCATTTTCAGGATAAAAATGATAAAACGTTAAGAACTGTTGGGGTTGTGTGGCGTACAAACTGTTAAGAAACAATTAAATGCAGCAAAAATAAGAGGATAGACAATGTTGTCATGTTGAAATACAAGAAATACAATGTAAAGGACTTAAATAAAATGTATTATTTTGTATAATATAAAATTACCTCATGAATATAACTTTTCGACAGATAAGAAAGAATAAATTAACACATAGTGTGACTTAATTTTATTAACAAAAAAAAACAAAAACCCGCATCCTCTTGATTGCGCAATTTAAGCACTTTCATTACATTTCAAAATCCAATAAACCTGTCGAAGTATGCATTTTACGTTTTCTCTTATTCTTTTATAAACACTTGATACTAGGACTGTCACGATAGCAGTTTTCAAAACATCGATGCATCGACCTGAACTATCGAGTGTATCGATGCACCCAGGGGAGAGGGAGGTGCGGATGGAAGTTGAGACCATCGCAACGAGTAATGAAGCCTACCTTGCCTCCCAACTATTAAAAATGACATTCTTTCATTGATGGATGCATCAGGGCAGCCCTAATTTTTCCCTTATTGCAGTTTAGAATTAGTTACCAAGTCCGTTCACGTAGTTTTTCTCTCTCTTTTTCTTCGTACTAGACGACCTTCTTTGAACATCGGCACCGGCAGATAGCAAACCTGCCGATGGTGCCATACCGGCGGTTGCTAAAACATCAGTACAGCCGTTGATTCAAGCGATGTCAATGTAAAAAATTCATTTAGTGTTCACCTTAAGTAAAATGCCCCAGGGCAAGTTAAACATAATTTTAAACAAAACTAAAGCCTGCATACTAAGGAGAAACACAGGAGTATAGAGAGGGGCATTAACCAATGTACGTTTTGAAATCAAGGGATTAAAAGAACTGTCCACTTTCGCACCATGCATCTGATAACAGAGCGGAAGACTGAACAGAAGAGAAAAAAACAACAACAATATTCTGTCTTCTCTCCCTCTCCTTTTCCATTTCCTGTCTGAAATCCATTTTTTCCCCCTTCCCTTCTTTCATATAGTCAATCCCAGCATTTCCAGTATTTGATCGTGATAGCAAATTGCATGCCCATGTGGGTCACGCCGCCACTTCCTTTCCCCCCCCAGGACAGACTGTATTGTACTGTACTCGTCTCAAATCCGATAGAACATTTCCCCTCAACCATCAATAGTGGTATCAATGCATCGAACTATCGCGACAGTCCTACTTTATAGTTATTAGTAAAAGCATAGGTCTGCACACTTGCTCTTCATTATTTTTTGTAGTTACATAATATCTTAATAATTTAATTAGCAAATTGCCAGCGACATTGTGGGTAGGAATCAGGCTTATTCAGGGTCGGATTAAGGAGGGGGCAAAGGGGCAGTTGCCCCGGGCCCCACTCTTCCAGGGGGCCCCCGAAGGAAATTAAAAATGTTAAGTACAAAAAAGTATGGTATTTGCGTAAAGTTGCGGGGGGGGGGGAGCCCCAGGAATTCATTTGCCCCGACACTCGCAACTTCTTAATCTGGCCCTGGGCTTATTGTATTAAAATCAAATCCTTGCATTGCACGAAATATGACTGTTCGTATACTCATTAATCTGATATTTTAAATAGTTTATAAGAACAAACATTTGATCGATTTTTCCAAGAAATTTAAATATAAATAGTGCTTTTCTTCATATTTTCCCGTTTTACTTAGTTTTGAACCATAAAACTCCATAATTCTGGGGAATAAGACAACGGCCAAAGTGCGCCTCCCAGTTTGCGTACCGCTGGACTAGGATATACTATTTAAAAAAAGGGGGAGACTGGGACAGTGATAAGTTTTCTTACCCTCGAAGAGCTGATACTCGAGTGGCCGAGGCGACAGAATTTGACCCGTTTATCAGGTATGAGCTTGTTCACTTGGTTTTATCGTCCCGAAGGACGATAAAACCAAGTGCTCTGCGTGGGCTGCAAACCGGATGCGAGAGACTTCAGTATGACGCGACAGATGGCTCAAATCCCTCTGCACTGTCTCGCTCTTCAGTGGCTTGTGTGTTTGAGTGGATGAAAGCTTTCTACTGGGAGATCGACTCCGAGGTGAGAAAATTCATCACAATCCTTGCCATAATTCGAAGAAAATATTTCAGAAGATCCTTTAGTAGCACACTGAAAAATGCCACGAGAACTGTCTATCGTAGCCAAATATGGTGAACATTTTCCAGTCATTTTCTTATACATTCCAATGAGCAAAGAAAAAATAGATGTTTTACGATTGGATTGCCCCAGGCCCTAAACTTTTTCGATGCCCTTCGTATACAGTATGAAACGAAATGATTTGACCCCTTCGTCATAAACGAAACAAAAATGACAGAGCCATGATTTGAACACATATCTTTTCCTAAACATTATAAAGAGAAACGATGAACCTCTCAGTATTATGCATGTTCCCCATTTATTAGGTTGGAAAGAAAGTCTTGCAACACTGCGCAAATTTGTCAACATTTTGTAACTTTATTGAAATGCAATTTCAGTCTACAATGTAATGACTATTGTTGTCTGACATGTTCCCAAAGCACGGGTAACTGCTCGATGCCCTTTGCCCAGAACTCAGGGGGGGGGGGGGGGGGGGGGGGGGGCCCTCCGCGTCTCTGCGGTCCGAGAAGAAAAAAAGTGAATTATCTGAGGGAGGATCTGCAGGGGGTCGGTGTCCGAATGAGCATTACGCGTCCTGCATTCCATCGAGATCTGTGGACCAGTGGCATTTTGCGGGACCGAGACCAAAAGTCTCTGTTTTCAAGGACGGAGACGAACCGGAAGTCCAGGTTTTAGTGCTTGGATCCGGTCGAAGATGCCGATCGAGGCTGCCCTTTCGTAGGGAATCGGATTTTCACATATGTGTCAGCTGCGGATTGTCGTCGGATCGACGACGTCAAAAGGGATTAGGGTTCGAAAGAAACGTTTTGGTTCTACCAAGTTTCTCGATCGATTTAGACGGATTTCAGCGAGTGAAATGTCCCAATTTTGTGATCCATGTATCATAAAGGCAACATTGATACATGATACACGTATCGATGTGGCCTTCCATTTTTTTGAATGTGGGATGAACCAGGCTCACGACGGGAAGAAGAAATGAAAAAAAAACTCTTTCCGGGGAGCCATCGGTGGGATCACAAGTGGGTTCAATGCCTTCTTATACTCAAAGGAGTATGCCCAATTAAATGTTATTTTGGTCCTTAAACGGAATTCAATTAATCATATATAATTTGAAAGGGTGTCCTTCGCAGTGTAATAAAATACCACTTTTACTCTAATCTGAAGAGTTTGAAAAAGTAAGGTTAGGTTAGGGTAGGGTAGCTTACGATCAAGTTATTTTGCATTAGTTTTTCATCAGAATACATACTTTTAAAAGTTTTGAGGGAAGGGAACTGCAGACTACCAAGAAAAAATCTATAAATATATCAGGCTGTAAAGGTGAAATTTAGACATTTCGATTTTTTCTAGAAAAATCTGGAAAATGTTAGAACTTTCAATGCATCTGAATCTGCCGAATGTATCGCAATGGTGAAAACAGCTCGGCTCATCTTCAGCCGTCCAGCAGAATGGGTAAGACATAAGGCTGACACACTGAAAGTATCGCTGTCCGTAAGTCCTCGTTCGGGGATGGGCAATCATCAGTTACCATCTGGGGGGTGTCATTTTATTTGCCAAAAGGGGGAAACGTTGTCTTCAATCGAGATCCAGGAGAAAGAGAATATGTTATCACGACTAAATTCCTAAGATAAGCGGATTAGAGCAATAAAAGATCATAACTCCAAGCTTCCTCTTTTCTGTATCATCAAGCCGGCGAAGGAGACAAAGATGTGAAAGTCTCGTCCGGAGTCTCGCCAACCTCGTTCCCAATGACGATCATATACACGAAGAAGGTCACCACTTCAGGATACTACGGCGGATTCTTCCAGTTCCTCTGCAGGTCTGTCCTCCCCCGCAGCGGCCTCACTCCATCCTTCCGTTTCCCGGTCTAGTCGAGCCGAGACTGACTGAGGATCCTCTGATGCAGGTGGAAAGGGAGCGTGTACAAGTCGGTGTGGAAGGATGTCCTCCTCTGGCTGCTGTCTTACTATATCCTCCGCGTCACTTACACGGGGATCCTCTCTGAAGAGGGACGAAAGTGAGTTCATTCGCATCTAATGATAGTTTCCGACTGTGTAAAAAGGAAAATTCTAGAGTTGAAACAGATAGGAGTTGAAACTTGTCTGAAAAGAGTGTGCAGTGGTGTCGAGTCTGTTCCCCAGCGCAGAGAGATCAGCATTGCCGCCAACGAAAAACAAGAATCAATTTAAGAAAATTACTAGAATGTCTCTCTCTTTCAAAGATTGAATATTCGATTGGATTTCCTAGGCAGCGTGTCTTTCTCATTAAATTTTAGGATTAATTTTTCTCTTTTCATGTTCCAGTTTGCCCTCAGGAGCAATAATATACATAGACGATCATGATTGAGTGACTGACGCTAATTCTAACCATGTTCTAGAGAAGTTAGAAATCTGAGACTTGGTACCCAAGTAGCTATTGGGATGTAGAGTTCAGAAAAATCCGACTTTGGAGGTACATGTCCTGGGGACACCCAATTTGGGGGGAGATGTTTTCAAAGATATACATTTGCTTCAGTCAAACGGAGAGACATTTAAAGCTGAAACTTCACATGGACGTGCTTACTGAGACACTGAGTTCAGGAAAAATGTCAAGTTTCAGATGCATGCCCTGGTGGCATATTTTTGCAGTGTTACCTCGTACTGTTTCAAATGAAAAATCTTGCCCTGGCAAATTGTGTGGAAAAAGAGAGATGAAACTTGATACATAAGTATCTATTGGGATGCTGAGTTCAGAAAAATTCAGACTTTAGAGGTAATCGCCCTGGGGGCACAAATTTCGATGGGAGATGTTTTCAAATAATTTTTTTTGCTTCAATCAAACGGAGAAACATTGAAAGCTGAAATTTGGCAAGAACGTGATGACTGACACGTTGTATTTAGGAAGAATGTGGGGTTTCCAAGACATTCCCAGGGGGCATATTTTTTGCGGGTTATGTTTTAAAAGAATTTTTATGTCCTGACGAATCGGGCAGAAAAGGAAAAGTGGAACCTGGCACACGCATAACTGACATGATGTGTTCAAGAAAAATTCATATTTTGCGTCCCCACAGGGCACAGCTTTTGGGTGGGTCGCTTTTCCAAATATATTTTCAACCAGCGAAAAGGGGAAATGAATGAGGCTGCCATTGTGTAGGCATGGAGTTCCCTAAGTCTAGAATTCAGAAGAAAAAAAATATATAAAAACCATCAGGGCACTTTTTTAAGTCGCATTTTCCGGAATCTTTTTGGATTCAACGAAACAGAGACAGAAAATTGAAACTTCCCTCAGAAGTACATGCTTGATAGGTAAGTGCAGGAAAAATCCTACTTTTGAAATATGTCCCCTTAGTGCAGATTATAGGAGGGAAATATTTCAAAATGTATTCTCCACCCTGACAAAAGGGCCACATAAAGAGATTTGAAGTTAGGCACAATGGAAATCTTCGAAGTAATGATTTTGATAAAAATCGAGACTTTCCTCCCCATGCGTCACATATTTCAACGAGGACGTACTTACGTACGAAGGCGCGAAGGGCAAACAAACTCGCTAGTAATCGAATATCGCTTAATGGATTACTCCGCTTATCAAATCCCGTTCTGCGAGAACGTAACTTTTTGTGTTTAAACCATTTCAAACCACATAATTTATGCAGTATCGTTGAAAACTTTTTTGTGCCCCACTGTGAGCATGATTTTCATCCACTCTGAATCTAAAACGTAATCAGACGACTCGATTTCGAGCTTACTGCATGGTCGTAAACGAATAAAGAGGAATGTGATAAACACGGGTTCAATTGAGGAAATGATATCAGACGGATAGACCCTTGAGATTTTTACAATTACAGTTGAATCCTCATAATAGAATATCGCTTAATCAAATATCACTTAATGGAATACTCCGCATAATAGAATGCCATTGCGCGGTCCCGATTTACGGTACGATACAGCAGATAGCTTCGGTAATTGGAATACTCCGCATTATGGAATAAAGTTCGTTGGTCCCGTGAGTATTTCAATATGCGGAGTCGACGATAAATAATTCAGTGTAACATTGCAAAATTCATTAAGCACAATACGAAATAAATCTGTAAAATTTCCCCATGGTTCCTCGAGAAAATTTGCTAGTCAAAGGGTTAAAGCACAATTTAATTCTATGCGGATCAAGTTTTACATGAGACATTTTTGTCTATTGTCACGCGATTGGGGTGAGCCTCAAGCTCCCACACACATAGGTAGTGTAGGAGCGTGGTGTGGGAACGTGCTTTTTTTTATCTTCCCCAAAAGTGTGTGCAGATAATGTGACGATGCTTGCACCCTTCGCCGATCGATCCGGATTCCAGAATTCCAATCGGGCTCCTTTCTTTCTGCTCCCCGAAGGAACTTCGAGGACATGGTGCTCTACTTCCGCAGCTACGACGGGATCCGGATTCTGGTCTTCCTCCTCGGCTTCTACGTGAGCATCGTGGCAGGGCGGTGGTGGGAGCTGTGGAAGGCGATCCCGTGGTCGCTCGACCCGGCCACCATCGTCGCCACGTATCTACGGTCCGGCGATGTGAGTCGTTTGGGAGAACCTGCCGAAAGTCATGGAGGGGGTTTCTTTTTCTCGCGATTTCATCTAACAGCTGTAACGTGGGGATACTTGAAATCGCTTCGGGGGCCAGGAGAGACCCTTGCCTTAAGTGCCACCTTATGGGAGAACCTGCCGAAAGTCATGGAGGGGGTTTCTTTTTCTCGCGTTTTCATCTAACAGCTGTAACGTGGGGATACTTGAAATCGCTTCGGGGGCCAGGAGAGACCCTTGCCTTAAGTGCCACCTTACTTGGACTATGTAATAGTCAAAGTGTGGTTCATTAGAAACTCATCGATAGTCATAAGGGGACATGCGTTTCATAAGAAACGCGTTAGTATCCATAGGGTCGCATGAGGTGATTCAAAATGAACGACCAATCCCTTTTCTATGGAGTATTTACTGTTGTCATGTGAGCGTTCTGCCTGATGCAATTTTATCATGTTTAGAAGAAACTATCTATATATGGAGTCCTTCACCAATTCATTCTATATGAAAATCGCCACTGATGCGATTTAAGATTCTATGGGTGGCGACCCATCCGACCCCCCTACCCCTACCCGCATCTTAAAATCTGCTCCTCTTGATTCTTGGCATCTCGTGCAGCAGGAAAGGTTTCTTGCGATCTGACGTTGGATCCTCATTCTTCGCTTCAGCTTGACACCTGAGGCTATCAAAGGAAAGGAAATCCAGCAAAAAATCAACTTGACTTTCCGTTGATAATGAAAATTGTAAATTTGACGTTGGAATTTCATAATTAAGTTTCGAGTCGAATCCAACGAATTTTCAAATCGAAACGAGCAAATTTTGGCGTAGACCTCATCTCCTGTCACCTTCGAGCCAAATTATCCAAAATTATACACCAAAAGTCCGAATTTTTGTAACTCACTGATGAATCTTCATCAAACATATGTCACTCGCATTTGACTCGAAGCAAATCGCATTCTTTTGGGGACGAATCCGAAATCGAAAGGCAATGCAATTCCTGAAAGTAAAGTCGACGTCTGTCATTATACTGGAAGAGATATCCACGAGTTACTATAAAATCCTCACTTTATTAAGATCCACATGTCCAGTAAATGTGTCCAAGAGAGGTGCTAGTAGCCGGGGCAAAACCCTTCGGTAAAATACTGCCAGACACCTAGACAGAGAAAAAACATGAGAAATTTTTCACTGTGGTAATCGTACGGAAAGAACACTATGACTTCATATACCCCCCATCGATGAACCCATGCATAGTTTAACCTTCACTTTACTCTCCCGCCACGCCATGTCTGCCTGTCTGTAGGTAATTTTGTGTTATAATAATAATAGCGATTTTCATACGAACTATGAACACATTTTTCAAGATAGTCTTGCAAATGTTCGCCTATTGCATGATTTAAACTCCTTTTTCAGTCGGAGATGGCGTTGAATTATCGTTTGGCGATAATGCGCTACATCCACCTGGGAGTCATCATCTGCATGCAAACCCTGAGCACCCGAGCCGAGAGGCACTTCGGGGAACTGGAAGACCTCCTAGACGAGCAATGCCCCTCCTGCAGATCTGCAGAAGGAAAGGCATCGCATCATGGCACTCCTTGCCGCAGCGACGAACCGGGCTACATCCCGCGCATGCTGACGGAGGAAGAGAAGGATATCCTGGAGAATTTAGGCCGTCTCTACGGGAGCAAGAAGCCACCCTATTGGATCCCGATGGTGTGGGCGTGTCGCTTGGCGGAGGACGCCATGAGGGCGGGGCTTTTGGACACGAACCTGGGGCTTCAGAGCATCATCTCAGAGATCCGTGGCGTCCGAACTCGACTCGGACAGTGTCGGGACATGGAAAATATCAACATCCCGCTCGTTTACACCCAGGTCTGACTCCGGTCGTCGCTTCTTCCGTGGGGATTGCCAATGTCCATCGGAGACTAGCCAAAGTTGCTTTAACCCTTTCAGACCCGAATTTAGGCCACTATTAAAATAATATTCGTTTTTTGGATTTTTCAGCTCTTTCCTAATCCACTCGAACTTTTGATGTTCTATATATCGTTGTTATATTTCGTATAAATTCACCTTATCATACCATACCATATATTACACATGCAATTACATAACTGAAGATGAAAAAACTGACGTGTGAGAGAAAATCTCCGATGGGATTGAGCCTTGCATAATTGCGCCCTTTGTAGAGTAATATGGGGAGCCAATTCAACAAAAAGAACCAAGGAATTACCACAGACTCACTGAAAATTCAATGTCCATTGGAACGGACACTGGACCTGAAGGGTTATATAGAAGTGGTTATTATTTCCTGTTGGCTCCGTTGAGGTTTGTTTCATGGCATTGAATTTCTGAACAGGCTCGGTGATGCTTGAGAAAAACTTAATCGAACTTAGGATGTCGTAGATGGACGGAATAGAAACTCGGCAAAATTTTCAAATAGAAAGTTTTTTTTAATATTTTTATAAATATTAATAGTTGATTGGGTTAGTTTCTCGCCGATTTCAATATTATCTTGCTTAGTGGCGTATTTTGGCTCACGAGGCAAGGGGGAAGTGTTGCAGAAAAGCTGGTATGTGTGTGTGTGTGTGTGTTGGGGAGGGACGGAAGGGGGGGGGGGGGTGCTGAGCAAAGGTTCTGAGAATTAAAAAAAAAATCCTTCAGGGGGTGCTAAGCATTCTCAGAGGCCTCCAGGGGGCAAACCCTCCCTCTCCCCCCTCGTGAAATACAACACTGATCCATGACTTCCGGCCCTATTGGCGACAGCTTTCAAAAAGTGAGACATCGTGGGAACGCTGCTACAACTACGATGCTAAAAGTTCTTCTGTGATCAAGGTGGTGACCATGGGGTGCTACACGTGGTGGATCGTGTCTCTCATTGCGAGCCAGTTCATAGAACAGGACGGGCTGGACATCTATTTCCCGGTTTTCTCGGTCTTGCAGGTATCTTCATCCGGACTTCCTTATTTGTTTTTGTGAGTCGCATAAAGGGAAAGGAAAGGGAAAGAAACCTGACACGAACGGCGTCAACCACAAGAAGTACCCGACCGACTTCCACCGACTCTACGAGTAGTTGGGCAAGCCGCTCCTGCTCCTGCTAAAGCTGCAACATGAAATCATCGAACAGAACATCAAGGTTTGCGAATCTTTTCGGAGCTCGTCTTCAAGGTTTTTGCACTAGTTCGAAAGTGTCGATTGCAGATTGCGGACTTCATCGTTCGGGAGGTGATGCAGAATTTCCCGGGCATTGATGCTCATCATGGCGATCCCGAGGCAGTCGTGGACAAATCTCAGAAAGTGGTATGCTTTGATAAAAAGTAACGGAGGAGTACTTGAGAATTAAGATAGATTTCTCTATCTTAATTCTTGAGAAAAAAAAGGAATCTTGCTTCAGCATGGTCTACCTAAAGACTTGGGAAGCATGTAAGGTAGCTCAATGGACATGAGTCCCACCACAACAGGGCTTATCTCTGCATCATTTAACTCAATTTGCGAGAGCGACTTGTGAAGCGCGAAAGAGGACGTACAGCAAGTTGGTCTCAGTGCAACACAGAGACTCCAGCCCCTGGTTTCTGTGAAACGACCCGAATGGACTTGCAGCAACAATAATAATTATTATTTTGTCCGTGTGTTTGTGAGGAGTTTGCGAATCTGTGTGGAATAAAATTAGTCCCGGAACCTCCACTCCCACGCCCCACCATTTCACCGAGCTCTTCTTCCCACACGAGGTCGACGGTTGAGGACGTTCGATGTTGAAAAAATTGAGGGTGTTCAGGAAGTTGAGGATGTTGAGAAAGGGGTATGCCCAGTTTCGACTCTTCAACCATTTTCAAAGAAATATGCATATCTTAGGAGGGTGTCCTTAGGCAAACCTAAAAATGCAATTCTTTTTCAAATCTGAGCAATTTGAAAAATGTTCGGTTAGGTTAAGGTTTGGTTAGGTTTGCCCATTTTTGGCCTTATTCCAATTTTGATTAAATTAATATTTATGTAATCGATTTCACTTGTGAACAAGAAGTTCATAATTTTTATCCATATATGAAGGGTTTCAAAAAGTTACGTTAGGTTAGGTTAGGTTAAATTTTTTTACTGTTGTCAATTGAGGCTTCCAAATAATGCCTTCTGCATTCTAACAACTTCGAAAGAACATCATATTGGAAGAAAGCTTGTATGTATGATTCATGATATTAAAGTTAATGATGCTTTGGTACACTGAAAGATGTTGCAAAATACAATTCACTTGTATATTTATAGATTTTTTCTTGGTAGTCTGCAGTTCCCTTCCCTCAAAACTTTTTAAAGTATGTATTCTGATGAGAAACTCATGCAAAATAACTTGATCGTAACCTAACCTACCCTAACCTAACCTTACTTTTTCAGACTCTTCAGATTAGAGTAAAAGTGGTATTTTATTACACTGCGAAGGACACCCTTTCAAATTATATATGATTCATTAAGGACCAAAATAACATTAAATTGGGCATACTCCTTTGAGGATAAGAAGGCATTGAACCCACTTGTGATCCCACCGATGGCTCCCCGGAAATAGTTTTTTTTTCATTTCTTCTTCCCGTCGTGAGCCTGGTTCATCTCACATTTAAAAAAAATGGAAGGCCACATCGATACGTGTATCATGTATCAATGTTGCCTTCATGATACATGGATCATAAAATTAGGACATTTCACTCGCTGAAATCCGTCTAAATCGATCGAGCAACTTGGTAGAACCAAAACGTTTCTTTCGAACCCTAATGCTTTCTGGCGTCGTCGATTCGATGACATTCCGCAGCTGACAAATGTGTGAAAATCCGATTCCCAACGAAAGGGCAGCCTCGATCGGCATCTTCGACCGGATTCATGCACTAAAACCTGGACTTCCGGTTCGTCTCCGTCCTTGAAAACCGAGACTTTTGGTCTCGGTTCAGTAAAATGCCACTGGTCCACAGATCTCGATGGAACGCAGGACGCGTAATGCTCATTCGGACACCGACCCCCTGGGGATCCTCCCTCAGATAATTCACTTTTTTTCTTCTCGTACCGCAGAGACGCGGAGTGGTTCCGTCCCCCTCCCCTTCCCCAACCTTCTCCCGGGTCTTCGTCGTTCTTCGGATGTTTTCCTATTGGCCCGTGGAGAGGGAAGGAATCGCAGGGATTGGCCTGTCTGGTTTGAAATACTCATCCTATCAATCCCTCGGCGATCCCAAACTTACATAAGTTCTCGATCAGAATCACGGTTGTTTATCTCATTCCAACTCGATCTTTTTGCCAGAACTGCCGAAACTCTGAAGGCATACTTTGAAGGATGAAGTGGTCCTGTCTGGTTGTCTCATGCGCTTCAAAATTAATCAGTTTCATTTCGCCTCCCAAACTTGCTACGCCTTACTTCTATTTGTTTTCGAAACCATGCCGCCCGTGAGCAACCATGAATGAGATAATAAATTTTTAAAAAGAATCAACCCAGCAAACATTGTAGCATTGTGGGAACTTTTCCCTAGAGAATGTCATCGACGTTGAAGGTCAAAGTCCAATGTTGCGTGAATATTATAGCAGTGTTATGGCACTATGATACCTTCTTAAATCGTATTTTTGAATAATAATATTTATGGTAGTATCATGGAGCATGCATCGCCGAATAGGGAATAAAAATTTATTTTTCAAGAAACGACCTATAACCTATCCAGTGTTACCACCTTGCTAACACCAGATATAAGCTCAATGCTGGACCAACATTGGGCACGATGTCCGTACATCTTGCCATTATTGCCAGTACCGCCTAAATATTGGCTAAATATTGGCTTCCCAATATTGCCATTCTATCATTCGTTCAATATCAGCCTAACGCTATGCTCCAATGTTGCACTGATAATTCTTTGTGTGGAAATGTTGAAGTTCTCCTCTTGGCTACTAGATTGAGGCATGGGTCTCGCTTTTCGCACAGTACACAAAAGTCCTCTTCCTTCTTTCCATGGAATAATCCCTCAAAGGAGTGTTTAATACCTCACCATATGTTTTTCCTAGTCTCATTTTAGCAATCAATAAAATCGGACATTTAATCATTTATCATCCCCATATTCGAGACAGAACCATGGAGCCCAGGCGATAAACAAACTCACACTCCCTATAACAAGGGTGCCCAAGTCGTGGCCCGTGGGCAAAAAGTGGCCCTCGAGGTGGATACAAGTGGCCCCTCGAGGCCCTAACCCACAATACCCTCAGGTTTCCTTAAAATAGTCTCCTACAATGTTAGTGACTTAATATGGCCCGCGATGGCTGTGGTAGTGAGCTATGTGGCCCCCTAGCCGAAAAGGTTGGGCACCACTGCCCTATAAGAACCCCTTGCATGACGTACATTAATTCTGACCTTCGTTTCAACATCTCAGGGGGCAGAATGATCATTCTTCCCCCAGGATAAGAAAGGAGGATTCGAGTTTTCTGCAGAGCAGAAGAGGGCGGACTGTACTCTGGAAAGCACTAAAATTAGTCCATTCAAACATATTTATGCCTTTGTCGTCATTCTTCACCCAATATTGTGGTGCTACTAAAGGTGGGAGTGAGCATTCCAATAAGTGACATTGAAATATTGACTTGATGTTAAATGCAACGCCACCGCAACAGTGGGAAGGTTCAAATGTAACGTTCATACAACGCTGATTGAATGTTCGTTTGTTTGCTGGGTATCATAGTGCCATAACATTGTCGTAATATTCACACAACGTTGAACCTTGACCTTCAACGTGGATGACATTGTATTGACTTTGGGGGAACGTTCCCGCAACGCCTCAATGCTTGCTGGGCTGTCTAGTCCTTGTTCATCTAGGACCTTGAATTACGTTGTAGGGGCGAGCCATCTGGTAGGCAATCCAGCAAACAGCGTTTCCACGGTCAAAGCGAGATGACGCCTGAACAACCGATAATTCCAGTTACCCCCATTGACGCAAACAGAGCAAGTCACCAGTACTTTTTACGCATGTCTCGATCTCTTCCTCACAGACGACATTGAAATCCGGGGATTATCGGCAACCACCTCAACGAAACTCTTGGTTATTCTGATCCGAGGATGGAGAAAGGATTCAACCGGGAATCCGACTCCATGGGCAAGAATTCAATAGCCCAAATAAGTGGAGTCCTATCTTATCCTGACATCGAATCAATGCTGATTCAGTCAAGCAGCATTGATTAAACGTGATGGATATCGAAACCTTTTAAAACCGAGAAAAAAATAATTATCTTCAGACTGGGACTGCTGGAGCTTTCTGCGTTTCAGCTCACTTTGTTCCCCCCCCCCCCCCCCCTCCCCACCCATAATCCAGGACACACTTGACTGCTGCGTGTGAGTTTACGGACTTCTCCGGAGTTCATCTTTGCAGTCAAGAAATCTCGGAAAGTTCTTTTCTTCTGCGTGTTTTCTGGGAGGCGGTGGTGCAGAGCCACTCAAGTCACAACTCACAGATGATGTTTGAAAATTCAGCGTCGTCATGTCGATTTGTCGATTCTCGAGGAAGAAACTTGCGCTCCAACAAACAAGTAGCAAAATACGTATTAAGCGCTTTCGAAACCGGTTGCCAATCTAGATTAATTGGGATGTATAAATTAAGTTACAAGCATGCTAAGCATTCCTCACGAATTCAGCAAGTTTTCTCTGTATTGCTTCATTCCATGACCTTGAAACTTCTGGCTTGAATCTTCTAGGCATCTTTACTGTAATAGTTTTCAAACCACGTTCATCGATAAAATCCTTTATTTTGGGCGATTGGTATGATCCCATAGCAGCAAATGAAATCAGAGGCGTAGCCAGGGTAGGCGTAGCCAAAGGGGGGCCAAGACGAACAGAGGGGGAGCTAGCAACTTCTCTTCGGGCGGAGGGGGGAGGGGGGGGTTGGACTAGAACCAAACTTGGGAGAGATTCATACCCCCCCCCCCTCGCTACACCACTGGTTGGAATTGGAGTACTTACTTAATTGGAGTAAAGGAGTATTTGGCTAGTTTTCTCAGTGAATTTTCATTCTGCCCCATTGATACTCTAAAGAGCATAAACTAGATCTGAATACTCTTCCCATGTCAAGGACCCAAGGCAACCAAATTCGTGAACCCTACCAGTTATGAGGGGCTCAAATCCCACGACAAGTGTGCTCCAAATACTCAGTCGAGAGGTTCATTTTCCCGATAACATTACGAGAGATGAGACACTGGAATCCCTGAGAGAGGGGGAGGAGGTAGAAAGGGGGAAGGGCGAGGGAGGCGGAGGGGGAGGGAGGCGGAGGGGAAGAGGGAGTCGGATGGGGGGAGGTCTCGTGCACCTGGTCATCGCGTATCCCGTTGGTATATGCGTGGGAGGAACTGCAGACTGCATGGGGTGGGACTCGTTTCAAAATGAGTTTTAAACATGCTTGAAGCAAACAGGATTCCAGATAAGTATGAAGTGCAAGATAAGCACACGGATGTCGTAAGCCACAATTAGCATTCCCCCCCAGTCGGTTGGTTATCGTGGGGCTCATGATTTGTGCCTAAGCTGCACACCAAAATCAGTCAGTTGTGGGATAAAGGGGGGACATATCCACGAAAGCAATCCATTCATTTTCAAACGTATTTCATCATTTTAATCATACAAACCTCCAACAAACTATAAAAGCTGGATTAGTTCGATTCCCCCCAAAAATTTTATTTGGTCATGTATGCAGGGTAGGTAACTAATTTTTTCTATATCGACCCTCCCCATTGGAATTTTCTGCTAACGCTCTGGATGGTCGTTTCCTTGGCAAAAGCTCTGAAGGACTCCGAGAGAAGTTTGAAATGTTACAAACAATATTGTATCCTGAGAAGAAATGCAGCTGCTAAACCATTAAATTTGAGTTACAGGACAAGCAGGAAAAAAATAATAATAAGGAATGCAGAATGCAATGGCAACTGCCATTGCAACTGCCATGGCGTGTTGCACGAATAGAAAGGACTTCCTTCTCAAAACGCTCAATTAGGTGACATATCTCCTCGCAAATAAATTTTTTCAAGATATTGTCAGTGTTTCTGCGGGAATGGAACATGCATCATTTCAAGGTCAAAAAAGCGCATGTCTGCCCGTACAGACTGTCAGCCTTATCTGCACAGGAAGGTGGACGCCATGAGAATGCCACCTGATAGTGCCTACACGCCACACACGCCCCCCCCTTCCTCTCCGCTCCCCATCGCGAGTACTCTCTGACGATGTCATTCGAAGCACGAAGAACGTATTTCACGTGCCTTGGTGACGTGGGAATTATCAAGCAGAATTCGATTATTTATTGTTACTCCTTCGTTTGAGTCTCCGTCTTTCGCATCGGTGAGTCTCGTAGAACTTAGGCCGGTGTGAATATGTCCGCTTATTGATATATACATAAATGGGTTTTCGTAGACAGCGTAGGTGTTTTCAAATACAAATTTATAATGTGGAAAATCAACTTGCCATGGAACCTATAGTTAGTAATGTCGAAAACCTTATACATGCAGCCTATTCTTTGTCTCAGCCGATTACCACTGACTGGAATGCTAGGGTTGGCAGATCTATAACGATCGCGGCACAAAAAGAAAACCAAACTGAGCGAGCTCAACCAAGTAGTCGGCTTACTTTCAATGACTGTTGGGAGACAGTAGGAGGAAGTAGCACGTGGGCAGAGCTCGAGAGAAGGGAAGGAAGAACCACATTGGGGCCTTCACTTACAAACTCGAACTACATTACTTTGTGCATTCCCTTCCATCAGCTACGAAGGCTGGAAGGAAGGCGATAGCTCTTGGTCGACGTCTTAAGGATCACTAATAGATGACGACTCTGGAAAGTCGCGTTATCAGGAGCCTCCACTCCGGGCAGGCAGCGAACCTAGTGGTCGCTGAGGAAAGCACACTTGTTACCGCAGTCTGCCGTGGCGAAGCACGGTGGACGCTGATGTTCTCCCATTAGTTACGCCGATTTTGATGGAAAGTGCAGTGAAAAACGCTTTTCAATATCTCCTAGATCCGAAAATAGACCATCCCAGAAGATTAAATAAGGTGTGGTATGATGTTTTGTCCTCGAAGATGCGTTCCTTTAATCCAGTTGGATGTGAAACATGGTAGGCCTATGAGAAGCCAATGTCGAACTAATCCAGCTTTTATAGTTTGTTGGAGGTTTGTATGATTAAAATGATGAAATACGTTTGAAAATGAATGGATTGCTTTCGTGGATATGGTTATTGATTGCATTGAAGAATGCCCCATGGGAACTCCTTATAACCTGAAATAAGCAGAGATAAAGAATTCTATGGAAAAAAATTCATACCCGAAAAGAAAAACAAAAGCAACAAGAAAATTCAGTCAAAGGTGATATACTTTCCCGGGAGAGCTTCACATCCTCTCCTTACATGTAATCTCCCCTTTTCCCTGTATGACCCTGATAAGGAAGAAATGTAGCAATTTCGTCGAGAAAGACGGCATTCCTCTATCGTTTGATGATATGCTTAATCTTCCAGATTAGATATGTATTGACAAACTCGAAGAGAAACTGCCAGAGGCCCGTGGAATACACATGTTGTTATGGCACGAGCCTGTCATTTCCATCAGCAGCCACTTAGACCTCTGGCTGCTCACAGCCTGCTTTGTTGATACGCATGGATGAAAGGCGCCTCCTCTGAGTGCCATGTCCTCTTCCATTATCCTTACGGAAGTACCTAATACAGGTGTATGAACAGGATGTATTTGAACATATTTCACTATTTGTTCACGTGCCAAACTTGGCTGGACGGAGACTTCATATGGTCAAAACATGAAATGGACATATTTGGCATATTTGTGCCATATATGTTTTAAATAAAGAGCCTATGTAGGACCATATTTGTTATCATCTATTAAGTCTTTATTTGGAACTCCCATAGAAGTAGCTTCACTGCGCATGCACAGTAAATTGGAGATCCTGGAAAACTGACTGTTGCCAATGCCTTTCCCACTGTAAAAAAATTTGATAATTCAAAATTTGAGAATAAATTTTCGTTGACATTTTTTGACACGAAATTTTCCAAAAGCTAAATTAGTCTGCATCTGGCTCATATCATATGAGAAAACCAATTTCAGTGTTCTTATTTTATCTATCCTCATTTTAGCTATCATGGGATCACCGAAACGTAAGACAGACACACAAACAGGACGAAGCTATAAATGATATTTTTCCGGTCAGGAAAGAAGTGGGGAGACTGTAAAGACGTAATACATATCAAATATGGTCATACATGGGCTCCTACTTAAAACACATACGAAACATACCTTGTATATTGTAGGGTGGTGAACGTGTGGAATGCGTTAAATGACGACGTCGTGGCTGTCCCTTCCGTGACTATTTTTAAGAAGAGACTATACCCCTTAATGGACAAAGCATAAAGGAGGGCAATGTAGACGAAAGGGACTAGGCAGTAAGTGACTAGGATATGCTAAAAAAAATCGCAAAAATACAAAACTATTAAGCTTTAAGAAGAGTAGGCTTATCGTAAAATTAAACGCTCGTCCTCGGCACGCGATATCCAAATGGGCGTTATCGCCTCCTGATACCACTATCCAACCTTGATACCGAGGTACCTTGACACGAATATTGTATTCCAAGGACGTCCATATCATATTTTGGCCAAATAAAGTCCCTTAACTCCTTCTATCCAAGTTTGGCTCGTATATATTCAAATATTTCCAAATACATCCTGTGCATACGACTGTATTTGGTAATTCCGTAAGGGCAGGGGGAGCAAGAGGGGCAACCCCCCTTATCGGTACCCCAAAGCGGCGGCATTAATTCCCATTCGGAAACGTCAGAGAGCGGCGGGTCTCTGTCTTCTATCACATCATGCTGTGGTTCATGATATCTGATGTACAGCCCACGCAAAACACTCGAGGGACGATAAAATCACGTGAACAAGTTTGTAAATGGGTCGAGTCCTTTTTACATGACCTGAAACTGCACAAAAAAAAACGGTGTACGAGGTATACGAGGGGAGTTCAAAAAGTTTCCGGCTCGAGAACTTCCAGTTGTAATACGTATTTCTTAGTTATCTCGAGGGAAGACAGGTTACTTTAAGTTGACAGGGAAATTTTCAAAACATTTGGCTTTGATAGTTTCTATTTATTTCTTCAGCTTGATACTAAAGGGCCTTCCGAGATACTACTTATTTTTAAAAAAGAAATAGGAGGCTAGAACAGTGATAAGTTTTCTCACCCCGAAAGAGTCGATCTTCGAGTGGCCGAGGCGACAGAATTTGACCCATTTACGAGGTATGAGCTTGTTCACACGGTTTTATCGTCCTTCGAGTGTTCTACGTGCGCTGCAAACCGGATGCAAGGGACTTCGGTGCGATGCGACAGATGACTCAGATGGCTCAGATCCCTCGCCAGTGTCTCACTCTTCGGTGATTTTTGCGTGTTGGAGTGGGTGAGAGCTTTCTACGGGGAGATGGACTCCTTCGGGGTGAGGAAATTCATCACAGCCCTTGAATAATTCGAAAAAAACATTTCAGAAATATTTCAGAAGATCCTTTAGTAGCACACTGAAAAATGCCATAAGAACTGTCTATCGTAGCCAAACATGGTGAAAATTTTCCAGTCAATTTCTTATACATTCCAATGAGAAAAAGAAAAATGGCGTTTTACAACTGGAAGTGCCTCAGGCTTTTTCCATGCCCTTCGTTTGCAGGGTGTTACGAAATGTTTGGGCCCCTTCGTTATGAACGAAACAAAAATGACAGAACCATGATTTTAACACACATCTTATGTCCTAAGATAAGCATGTGTCCTAGGAGAGGGGTGCACAACATAGGGCACACGGGACCCTTGCCCGTGGCCCGCCATGACTGGTGGCGTCATAAGTGCTACTACCACGTATGGCTCTTGCCCTATTGGCCACAGCTATGGTCAGCATGACTGCGGCCAGCGGTAGGTGAGTAAAAATCGCAAATGGCCCTCACAGCCTTTTGAGTTGTGCACCCCCGTCCTAAGATAAGCGGATAAGAGCAATAAAAGATCATCTCTCCAATATTCTTGCTATGTACCGTCAAGCGGGCGAAAGAGACAAAGATGTGAAAATCTCGTCCTGAGTCTCATCGACCTCGTTCCCAATGACGATCATATACACGAAGAAGATCACCACTTCAGGATACTACGGCGGATTCTTCCAGTTCCTCTGCAGGTCTGTCCTCCCCCGCAGCGGCCTCACTCCATCCTTCCATTCCCCGGCCGAGTCGAGCCGAGACTGACCGAGGATCCTCTGATGCAGGTGGAAAGGGAGCGTGTACAAGTCGGTGTGGAAAGATGTCCTCTTCTGGCTGCTCGTTTACTACATCCTCCGCGTCATTTACACGGGGATGCTCTCCGAAGAGGGACGAAAGTGAGCTCATTCTCCTCCAGTGATAATTTCAGATTATGTAAAAAGAAAAAAAGAAATTTTAGAGTTGAAACAGACAGGAGTTGAAACTTGTCTGAAAAAAGTCAGTGGTGTCGAGCCCAGAGCAGAAAAGTCAGTATTGCCGCCAACGAAAAACAAGAATCAATTTAAGAAAATTACTATAATGTCTCTCTCTTTCTAAGATGGAAAATTCGATTGGACTTCCTAGGCAGCATCCCTTTCCCATTTCATTTTAGGATTCATTTTTCTCCTTTCATGCTCCAGTTTGCCCTCAGGAGCATAAATAATAGATTCTACTCTTTTACTTTGGGCCTTCTGGTGAGCAAAGATTTCTGGTCGGCATTGTGGTGCTTGCGAAAGCCAGATCCCATGCTCACCGTTACGAGCTCTCTGCGTTGAAGCTCGCATTATTTTTCTTCCTATTTTTCCCCAGTAAACCAGGCGTTACTATTGAATTCTGCTTCGCATGAAGTTAGGGCATTTTTCCCGAATTTATTTTGCATGGAAGAATCATCAAATACCCCTTTGTTTAGAGGGTTCAGAATCTCTCATCAACTGGAGATAGTTCGTTCGAGGCCGTAAAAATCCAAGTCGATAATTGGGCTCGAGAAAAAAAAGCAAGGAATCGACGGTGAACCCACTCGAGACTGGAAATCTCAAGAGTTCCTAGAAATTCCAGCATAGGATATCCCCATTGCCTGATAACGCGACGAGAGCACGAAGATCCGCCAGACATTGGATTCCTGGATTTCATTCGAATTAATCGAAAGCAGGATTATACAGTAATTGTAGAATACTTGAAATGTCGATGAATCAGATGGACGAAATATAAATCGAATTAGATGAAGTCATATCTCGTTGAAGCAAAATCTTCCCGATTTTCGTCAAAGGATCGAAATGCAGAAAAAAAAAACATTTGTGCCAACGGTGTGATTCTCTGCGTGCTCAAGTTTACTTAGAAAAATATCAACTTTGGAATTATACGTTTTATAGCATGGTCAGTGAAGGACTTCGCCACATCTGAAAGTCAAGGATATGTTGCATGCATTTTAGATGGGAACATGATTAGAAAACCCTATCAAGTGAGACAAAGCACAACGATACCCATAGACACATGTGGTTTACAGTCTTGTTCTAGTCGATCTCTTAATGTTTTCCCTCGAATGTGGCCTGTATTCAACTTGGAAATAACATGTTTCCTCGTTGACTGTTTTACTTGTGGAGCTCTGGATAAGAAGGCGCGAAATGCATGTTTTCCGAATAATGGCGATGCAGGTTGTGACGAAACCTCGGACATGACCCAAAAGTGCAACGGGCAGCAGTGCGACTCTTGTGAATAACTTATTAACTAGCTTGCAGACAGAAAGCCGAAATCAAGAGAAGAAAAAAAAACTGATGCTTTTCGCCGTTGGAAGCCCGCAGCAACTGAACATTTCACCACCCCGACGCTTCTCTGAATGAATCCGCGGTCGCAGCATCCTCTGGCATTGAAGATGGAGAGCGGGACCTCGAGCACGCGGTCATCACGTGACCCCATTGCTCAATGGGAGGGACTACTGGCAGCATTGTGTCTCTGCCCAGCTCTCGTCGAGGCGATGTCGAGCGTTCGTGTCCTCTGACAGCCGTGGAATATCGAAAACTACAGAAGTAGATCTTTCTATTTAAAAAGCGACTTTAAACTATGGGCTGACTGGTGACGTTCGGTCGAGATATAAATTTTTATAATACTTCGACTTTGACCAGGATTCGTGTTATTTATATTGCAGCTTGAGTCTCAAGTTGCTCAAGTTGAGGTAGAATCAGACTCTAAGCCTTATCAACTTTTAAAAACGGTATTTTAACGAGTAGCACAAGGTACCGTTGTTTCCTTGTCATTCAGGTAAACAAGTTTTACCTTGCACTTTTGTAATAAAAGATGAAAATATTAATCTAAATATTAATCTAATCTAATCATCGAAGCGCCATGGAATCTATCTAGTCTGCACCTAGTGACTCTTCGTAGGAGAGCCACTTGCCTGAAGTATATTCAAATAGGTCATTTCTTTTCAAATATGATAACAAAGAGCAATCCCGGTGGAAACGCTGTAGAAAGGACTCCAGAGTGTCATGGCATCGCAAGACGCTTGATAATGTGAATACCCTTGTGAATACACCGAGGGAGGATTAATGCCCTTGCCCCCCCCCCCAAGGAAACGAGATGCAATGGAATCAGCGAGATCCCCGAACGGACGGAAATGCAGAAATCCGATCAAGAGGAAAATGTATCCCAAGGCCAAAAAGAACGCATGTCGACAGGCTGTAGGCCTTATCTTTACAGGCACATGGAAGCCAAGAGAGGAACCCCCCCCCCCTTGGCCCCCCACGAGTACTCACACTGATATCCTTAGTGGTGCGAAGGATGAAGAATACGTTCCTTTGCAACGGGGAAACTAGGAAGCAGAATTCAATGATTTTTGTTGCATCTGTTGATGTCGGGCGACATGCACCTGATCCGATTGACTTTGAACTCATCTGGTTTCATAATTGGCGCGTATGGGAATGAGATTATCGTCAAGCGGATTCCCATAGAGGACAATTATGATATCAGATAAGTTTAAGAGTTCAACAGATCTGAGAAAATCAGATGAAACCAAGAAAGGTAACAACCTGCAACAAAACCCATAATTATGCATAAGGGCCACCCGGTATATCAGAGAACCTGCGCGTCACCGTCACATGTGTCGTCACCGTGACGACATGCGTGCGAGAACACTCTCGTTCTCGGGCATTGAAAAAGGCTCAACATCTCATGTTGAGCCTTTTTGAGCGATGAGATGTAAATTTAAAAGCATAAATCGGACAGTTTTCGACGATCGGCAACACTTCTCGAGCTGCATACATTTTAATGGGGTTTGCGGCATTCAAAAGAGGATCGAATCAGCTTCAAAAGGGTCTACTTACTTATCAAGTCCCGTCCTGCGACAACGAAATTTTTTTGCTTAAACTGTTTCAAACGTAGCGAACTGCATTATAATCCACGCAGCATCGTTGAAAACTTTTCTTTGTGGCCCACTTCGGGCACGATTTCCGTTCGCTCCGACTCAAAAACGTAATCGGACTATTGCGGAACCCCATGGCCCCGGCTCGAATTCGTAGGAATTCCGATGTTTCCTGCTCGCGGAAAGGGAAGGAAATGGCGGCGACTCGATCTCGAGTTGATTGGGTCGTAAACGAATAAAGCGGAATGCGATAAACACGGATCAAATGGAGGAAATGATGTCGGTCGGGCGCCCTCTTGAGATCTATGCTGGCGTGGGCCGACGCGATGGCTCGCTGCTTTATTGTATTCGTTTGACTGATTTGTTAAATTGCAGCCGACTCCGCACAATCGAATACCGCTTAATGGCATGCCATTGCGCGGTCTCGATTTACGGTACGATACAGAAGATAGTTTCGGTTATTGGAATACTCCGGAATATAGAGTCAGGTTCGCTGGTCCCGTGAGTATTCCAATATACGGAGTCGACGGTAATAATTCAGTACTTCATAGTCAAAAGGTTAAAGCACAATTTAATTCTATGCGGATCAAGTTTTACATGAGACATTTTTGTCTGTTGTCACGCGATTGGGGTGAGCCTCAAGCTCCCACACACAGGTAGTGTAGGAGCGTGGTGTGGGAGCGTGCTTTTTTTCTATCTTCCCCAAAAGTGTGTGCAGATAATGTGACGATGCTTGCACCCTTCGGCGATCGATCCGGATTCCAGAATTCCAATCGGACTCCTTTCTTTCTGCTCCCCGAAGGAACTTCGAGGACATGGTGATGGGAGAACCTGCCGAAAGTCATGGAGGGGGTTTCTTTTTCTCGCGATTTCATCTAACAGCTGTAACGTGGGGATACTTGAAATCGCTTCGGGGGCCCGGAGAGACCCTTGCCTTAAGTGCCACCTTACTTGGACTATGTAATAGTCAAAATGTGGTTCATTAGAAACTCATCGATAGTCATAAGGGGACATGCGTATTATAAGAAACGCGTTAGTATCCATAGGGTCACATGAGGTGATTCAAAATGCCTTTTTCCAATTGGAACCTTTTTCCAATTGAATCGTGAAGCTAAAGGAATCGAAATTGAATTTTTATATATTCGAACTGAATGGAATTTCAGAATTTAGAGTAGAGTCGAATCCAACGAATTTCAAATCGAATCGCGCAAATTTTGTGATAGATCTCATCTCCTGTCACCTTCGAGCCAAATTATCCAAAATTATGGACCGAAAGTTCGAGTTTTTGTACCCTCACATCTGAATCTTTCATAAAACTAATGTCATTCGTATTTGACTCGAAGCAAATCGCATTCTGAGGTGACGAATCTGAAATTAAAAAAGCAATGCAATTTCTGATAGTAAAGTCGACATCTATCATTATACTGGAAGAGATATCCACCGGCTTCAATCAAATCCTCACTTCATTAAGATAAACATGTTCAGTAAAAGTGCCCAATAGAGGAGCTAGTAACCGGGATAAAACCTTTCGGAGAAATATTGTCAGACACTCAGACAGAGAAAAACAAAATAAGGAATTTTTCGCTGTGGTAATCGTACGGCAAGGACACTATGACTTCATATATCCCCCATCGATGAACCCATGCATGGTTTTACCTTCACTGTACTCTCCCGCCACGTAATGTCTGCCTGTCTGTAGATAATTTTGTGTTATAATAATAATAGCGATTTTCAAAACGAGATATGAACACAATTTTCAAGATCGTCCTGCAAATGTTCGCTTATGACATGATTTAGACTCCTTTTGCAGTCGGAGATGGCGCTGAAGTACCGTTTGGCGATAATGCGCTACATCCACCTGGGAGTCATCATCTGCATGCAAACCCTGAGCACCCGAGCCGAGAAGCACTTCGGGGAACTGGAGGACCTCCTCGACGAGCAATGCCCCTCGTGCAGATCCAAAGAGGGAAAGTCTTCGCATCCTGGCTCTCCTTGCATCAGAGACAAACCGGGCTACATCCCACGCATGCTGACGGAGGAAGAGAAGGATATCCTGGAGGATTTAGGCCGTGTCTACGGGAGCGAGAAGCCACCCTATTGGATCCCGTTGGTGTGGGCGTGTCGCGTGGCGGAGGAGGCCAGAAGCAAGGGGCTCGTTGGCACAAGCCTGGGGCTTCAGAGCATCATCTCAGAGATCCGTGGCGTCCGAACTCGACTCGGACAGTGTCGGGACATGGAAAATATCAACATCCCGCTCGTTTACACCCAGGTCTGAATCCGGTCGTCGCTTCTTCCGTGGGGATTGCCACTGTCCATCGGAGACTAGCCAAAGTTGCTTTAATTAGAAGTGGTTATTCTTACCACTTGGCTCGTTTGAGGCTTGTTTCATGGCATTGAATTTCTGAACAGGCCCGGCGGTGCTTGAGAAAGACTTAATGGAACTTTAGGATGGCGTAGATGGACTATCATGAGCGAAATTTAAACGTATCAAAATTTTCAAATTAAAAAGTTATTTTTTAAAAAACAGTTTTTAAATTATTGTTGATTGGATTAGTTCCACGCTGGTTTCGATATTATCTAGCTCAGTGGCGCATTTTGGCTCACGAGACTAGAGGTGTGCGTGAGTTCCGCTTCACGTGTGATTCACGCGGGACTCACGACTATTTTCATGAGTCATTACTTGTACGGACCTTCGGCGAAGGTCCTAATCGTGATCATGAAGCGAACAGAATTCACTCTCTCGTGATCGTGAGTTTTTTTTAAATATTCCTGCCGAGTTACTTTGCCGGTTTTTAACTCTCCCTGACACATGCCACAGTTTGGATATGACTCTTCCATTCTGGTACTTTGAAGTTCGAACCCTTGGGAACGTCCGAAACTTCACTTTCTTTCAAGCTTTTTCCTGGAGCCATGGAGAATAAAAAAAAAAAAACTGAAAGCGGATTTCCCCTGTTCGGTCATTGCACAGCCGAACATGCCATGCAAATGAAGTGCTCAGTGTTCTCAAAAGTTCCACCCCAAGCGTGAGGATTTTTTTTGGGTGCTCCGCGGATTCTGGAAAGTTCTCTGAAAGTTTGGACATGATTTTTCTCCTCGAGAACTTGCGAACAAGTAACTGCCACGTAAATCAAATGTCATCCGGTTACTACACAGTTTCTTACTATTTACTATTTTTAAATACTGAAGGAAATATTAATTTAAATCATTTTGAAAGGGGAGAAGAATGGTCAACTGTCCCGCCTGACACGACTCACGAGGTATCATGCGTGATTTTGCGTGCGTTCAATTCACGGTCGCAATGATCGTGCGTACCCGTGAATCTCAAGTGATATTGAATCAAGGGATTGCGCGAACATGAGTGACAACATGGTTTTTCTCTCGTGATCGTGATTGATCGTGAGTAAAAAAATCACTCATGCGCACACCTCTACATGAGACAAGGGGAAAGGACTGCAGAAAGGCTGATGTACCTGTGTTGGAGGATGGGGGGAGTGTGCTGAGCAAAGGTTTTGAGAATTTAAAAAATTCCAGAGGGGGTGCTAGGCACTCTGGGGGGGGGGGGGGAATCCCCCCTCTTCACACTCTTGAAATGCATTACTGATCCTTGACTTCCCGTCCCATTGGCAACAGCAAAAAGTGAGACATCGAGGTAAAGGCTATTATAATTACGAAGCTAAAAGTTCTTCTGTGATCCAGGTGGTGACGATGGGGTGCTACACGTGGTGGATCGTGTCTCTCATTGCGAGCCAGTTCATAGAGCAGGACGGGATGGACATCTATTTCCCGATTTTCTCGGTCTTGCAGGTATCTTCATCCGGACTTCCTTATTTGTTTTTGTGAGTTCGTATTTCCCTTTCCATACCCTTTCTTTGGACTGTGCTCGCCGCAGTTGGTGTTCTTCATGGGCTGGCTGAAGGTGGCTGAGATGCTCATCAACCCGTTCGGCGAGGACGAGGACGATTTCGACGTTGATGACATCGTCGAACGGAACATCAAGGTTTGCGAATCTTTTCGGAGCTCGTCTTCACGGTTTCTGCACTAGTTCGAAAGTGTCGATTGCAGATTGCGGACTTCATCGTTCGTGAGGCGGTGGAGAATTTCCCGGGCATCGATGGCGATCCCGAGGCAGTCGTCGACAAATCTCAGGAAGTGATCAGCTTAAATTTTTTCATTGCCTCCTCATGCACTCTTAATTCTATCTCTTTCTCTTTTTTTTTCCTTAGAACGAAGTCGTACCAGATGGATTTCTGAACCCTCCGCACATTCAATCGAGTTTCGGCATGAATCCTATGGGAACAGAGCTTATGTCTGCATCATTTGACTCAATTTGCGAGAGCGACTATTGAAGCGCGAAAGAGGACGTAAAGTAAGTTTGTCTCAGTGCAACGCAGAGACTCCAGCCCCTGGTTTCTGTGAAACGACCCGAATGGACTTGCAACAACAACAAAAAAAAAAATATTTTGTCCGTGTGTTTGTGAGGAGTTTGCGAATCTGTGTGGAATAAAATTAGTCCCGGAACCTCCACTCCCACGCCCCACCATTTCACCGAGCTCTTCCCGCACGAAGTTGACGGTTGAGGACGTTGAGGATATTTTTTTTACAGACGAGCTACTGGGTTTGTAGCAGCCCGTTGTGGGGTTCGGGTGGAAATAAGATCACAATGGGAAATCAATAACAATTTAATAAGTCCTGTATTTATTTCCTTACTACAAATGTACATCATCAGCAATGAACAAACAGGCCCGGTGCCTCCACACTCGTCTCTCGTCGGGGCGAAGCGGTCCGGGATTCGGAAGCGTTCCTTGAAGGGCGAAGAAGGGGTCCCTGCTCCTTGAAGGGTGTCAGGCGGGAATCCTCTGAGGTTGAGAAAACCTCCATCTCTTCCACGACGGTACCGCGAGCGAAAGAACTTGTCATCGTGCTTCGGCCCGCTCTAGGGCGGTACTCGCCTGCTCTAGGTGGTCCGTATGGCTCGTCATCCCGGCCCACTTTGTCTTGACTCGTGACTGTGGTGGACTAAGGGGGGAAATTCCCTGTTCCGGGGAACTACATCTCTTGGTCGCGGAGCGTAGGTGAGCAATACAAGTTAGGTGCTGAGCTATATGGTCCGTACCTACCTCTTCAGGTCTCGGCCTGGATTCCACTACTCCACTTCCTGGTCGTGGGGCTTTCAAGACGGGAAAGTCGGTGGTCACGATTAGATGACTCCGAGTCAAAGGGTTGGAGAAGCTTCTGGAACTCGCCGACCGTAATTTCAGGGCTTAGTTCGAGCCTGTTTCCGGGTCGGCGCGACCTCCTGGTGATGAGCTGCTTCAGGGCTGAGGTCGAGCCTGAGTGGCACTTGAAGTGGGGATTCCTGGTCGTTGGTCAAGGTGGGGGAAAGGTCATATGTTCCACCTGATGGAACCATCAGGCCATCATTTCCCTCCTCTTCTTATGTCATATCCTTAAATAACTCTCTTCTGCCATCTTCTATGATAAAAGAAGACTTGCAACTGGATTGGGCTTCATTAGCCTGCTTTAAACCTCCACATCATGCAACTGGAAAATGCATTCGTCCCAGTTATGGCATCTCGAAACATCGATAAGCTTGTTCGCAAACCAGGAATGCATTGGGCAAACCGATTCGTCTGCTCTCACTCATCTGGAAGGAAGCCTTATTGTGAGAATAATTTTGTGAGAAATGGCCCAAGCATACTACTGACGGAGATAATCAGGAATATCCCGACACCTGTGTTTCATCGTTCGTGACTTGCTTGCAAAGTTTTTTCAACAGATGTCGGGATGCTCGGCTGCAAACCCAGTCGCGTCACATGGCTCCTAGGCACGAGCGTGCGTGTGGCCTCGTCTGCCTCAATCGGGGATTAGAGACCATACGCGTTCACGGTGACGTGAATTCGAAGTCGTGAGGGGGATATGGTTATCCATTTGGCGTGCCTCACGTCTGACAGCGGTATCCCACTCTTCCTCCGTTCCGTCGGTGACTCCATATCACCGGCTAATCCCGAATCGGTGAGCAATCGTCCATTGGCGAGCATGACATTGGTTAAATTGAGCAATGGATAGGCCTAAGGTCTGCAGTAACGTGCTATAACCAAGTCAAACTATGCTGTGCTATTCCTGCAGATCCCTTTCCCAGTTCTGGGCTCCCTGAATGGATGTTGGATGTACTCCAGATCCTTGGATTGCAGCTTACTTTCTGCTTCTTCTAATGATGGCAGTGTCACATGGCAGGAATTTGATAATTTGTGAGTCCTTAATATGTCATCACTGAGGTGGTGCTCAGGCCAACATCTGTTACCTAATCTGTTACACCTAATATTAATGGGCATAGTTGTCTTCAGCAATAAATAATTATAAACAATGTTGGTCCAGGCCCAATCTACCATGCAGCATTTTGTTCAAAGGAAAATGGTTATGTACTGAGCAGGGTTTGGGTCATCTAAAAGCCCTTCCAGGCTGAAGACAGAGACTGTTAATATGCATTCTCTTCTGGCATCATTTTTTAGAGAGGCTGGGCATGTTGCTGAAGACTCCATTCTGCCTATATTGAATTGCACCTAGATTCAGTAGTTTCCTTCCTTCCTCCCCTACTCTCTTCCTCTTTAAAATGTGTGTTGGAAAGACTTGTAGCATATGACCATACCAAACTGGTTGTTATTGGTTTAATATAAACACAAAGAGCTGATGGAAATGTTAGTCTAAGGACAGGTTTACTTGCAAGCAACTTTAATGCAAGTATACCTGCTTGTGTAATACTTCTAGGGATAGAGAAATCTCTGCTTTCCTTTTTAACCATGGTTCAAGTGGGTTAAAGAAGGATTCAAGGCAAGGACATGGTGGGACCAGTTGATTTCCATTTAATATGAATGCAAGGAACTGGGAACTAGAGTGCATGTGTTGGGGGAGTGAGTCATTGTTAAAGATGCTTAGGTTGCCTGCTTTATGATGAGATCATTGCCATTGAAACATCTTTCTTACTGTTGATGTTTTAGCAATTTGGCTAATAATGATTATTCCAGGGAAGTTGTAGAACTTGCTACTGTGTGTTACTATCATCTGCTTCACTTCCTCTGACTATACTATGAAGGCCTGCTGTAGAAGCTTTCCCTTTTAAAAATTTATATGAACTGATAGTTGTGAGAGTATTTTTTTCCTTTTCATGAGATCTCTCCTGCACACCTCACACTAATATTTTAATTGTCTCTTTCATTACCATAATATGCATGAACTAACCTTAACATACCATATTTCCATCATCTGGATCAAAGAATGAGAATATTAACCATCTTGCCTTAGCCAGAACCTAGCACCAGAATCTGAACCTGGAATCTGGTCAAGTTGAATGTTAGATCAGGTTGACCTATTTCTATGATCTATGAATGCACTAACAGACTTTGTGAACTTGGTTCCTTACCTAAATGCAGCCACAGTTAACAGTCTCCAGTGATGAATCTCCACAACCCATGTTAACTGCCAGCAAGTAGCATTCCATACTATCCTAAGATAACCCCCCCCCCCTTCATATGATGCAGAAGTCTATTTAAAGCATTAAAAGTGCAGTCCTAAGAGCCTGAAAGAGTAGGCCTTAGTCTCATCAGATTGGGCATCATCATTTGTTGATTATTTGTCAACCTGATCATGGTTGTTTTTTTCTGTTTCACTTCCAGCTTTGTCTTGATCCTTATTGTTAAGGATGGAAACATATTGGAGGAAAAGCTTAGGAGGAGTATGCTGGATCTTGTTTACTCTGCACTGGTTCTTTCTCTGGGCTCTGATCTCATGTCATCATCCACAAGTGTGGAAAAGCTGAAGAGGGAGATGAGGGTGAGTAATTCCATCCACTTTTCTCCTGCTAAAATCTTATTCCATTAGTAAAAGATTGTAATTGTGCTTTGCAAAATTTACTAATTCTGATAGGGTTTGTCTATCCAGCTTTTGGAAGCATACTACAAGTTTTAAATGTACAGTGAGATGTTGATGTTCTTATTTTTAATGCACCCATGTTTCCAGAGAGACTTCTCCTCTCTACCCCTAAAATGAATGACTTATTGCCAAATTCTACAGTTGACTGAATGCTTTCTTTTTGACAGAGTTGCTATCGTGTCATTGACCTGATCCTGAGAGACATGGCAGCTGCATCCACAGCTTCATCCCTTGCCACCATCTGCCTCAAGCCCTTCTACTCCCCATATTGTCCTGATGACTTGCAGAAAATGAAGGTTGGAGAGGGAGTTCATGTTAAATTTTGTTAAGAGAAAAATTTTTACCATTCATGTTTGCCCAGAGGCTTTTTTGATTGGCACATACTTAAACTCAAGATCATAGTTACAATATAAAACATGTGTGTTTGTACATGTCATTGCAATGCACCAATTGGTTTGAGAACTGCCTTAAGGAATGCCTTATGTGTAACTCTGGTGAATCACACATTTCTGGATGTTGATGTCCTACTAGCCAAGGATTTTGCATCCCTGCATTCCTCTAATCCATATGAGCAATTTTTTTTGTAGAAGGAAGAGGTGCAAAAGATATTAACCCTTTTAGTGCCACACAGCCGATTGACTATATATAGTTCCTGTGGCACTAAAAGGGTTAAAGACAGAGAAATTTCATTTAAATCATTTTCAAGAACTAGAATACCCAAAAGATGTAGGTCTAAAGTAAGGATTCTTGAACATATTGTAGCCACTTTACTGGTACCAGTATATATATTTCTCAATGTTCCATTCTCTTTCTATTCAGACCTATTTGGAGTCATTCTGTGGTTCATTTGACATTGCATATGGATGCATGTTGCACCATGGAGTGGCTGTGGCATGCACAGATGCATGGAGAGAGCTTCTGTCATCACATGAGGCCTTGCTCCTCTCCATCTGGGTTCGGTGTCTCCAACCAATCTCTGCCTGTGATACTCCCCTCTTCCTCCCACATAAGAGCCCCAAGGTTGGTCTTATTCCTAATTGGATGCTTCTCTCTTGTGATTGCATAAAATATTCACACCATGACTGTTTTGAACCTTGTAGGTACCTTTCCGCCTGCTGTGCTTCCGTTTGATCGGTGGTGAGCCATTGCACCTATGTCTTCTCTGTGGATCAACTCCAAACTTTTCAGACGTCCTGAAGCAGATCAACCCCTTTTGGAGACCCCATCTTCAGTTTATGAAGGGCATGAAGAGCCAGTTCCGTAGTCTGACCTTCAAAACTGATCCTTATTTCTTAGGGTTGGTGGCCATCCTGCATTGGTGCTAATTTTGCCAGTTCGGTTTTTGGGGTAACAGTTCTGGGTTCATTTATATCAGGTTTGTGCTGTTGGATGAAGGGAAAAATTGGGGAACAGTGCAGGTGGAAGAGAGCGATGAAGATGGAACATCTGCCAAAGAGAAAATTGAAGCTTTGAGATCCTTTCATATCCGATTCTCTCCTCTATTGGATCCTCCCACCTCTGACTCAGGTGAAGGTTTCTGATAAGTGTGCCAGCAGGGTAGAAGCAGCTATTATACACAGGACTTGCTTTTGTTGATCTTGTCCAACCTCCTGTTGAAGACTAAGGAATTTTAATGGTTTTTCTTTCACAAGTTGTTCCATCCACCTCGTGTACAGTCTTCAACACCCATGACTGGTTAATATCAATGACAACCTGTGCAATAAGTTGCATGGAGTTAAATATGCAAGACTTGCATTATAACTCAGTGACAATATGAAAGCCCAATGGTGTGGTCTTAATATTGCAGAATGTGAGAATGGGCTGCAAGTTTATTGCCTCTGAACAAACTACATTATGACGATTCCTGCTTTATTTCTTACCATGCTCCACAGTAGAATCTATTTTCATGGACACAAGGTAACTTGATATCCCATCAGGAACTCCAATAATTGACCTAAGGAGAGAATTTTGATCATAAAGGCCATCCTGTGGACTTGAATGTTAACCTATTACATGAACAACATGATACCTTTGTAGAGTGCAGTGAACTGAATATGACTAAGACCAAATGTGAAGTCTGCATATGTGTGAAGATACTCATAACAGAGCTCTGTTAACCCTAAAATATTTTGATTGAGTGGGACAGTCAGTAGCTTCCAAATATCAAAGTTTTTGCCAAATTATGTTTTTCCCTATTTTTAGGCTGGGTTTTCCACATCAAGTCTCTGAAGCAGGCTGGGTTATATGAAAACTGCATGACCAAATCATGCATTGAAGAAATTTTCTTTCCAAAGGAGGTCAAGGTTTCTAGCTAAAGCAATCATAGTCAGTTGATGATTTCATTCTGCATTCTGAAAAAAGGGGGCTGATGACTGTGTGCAATTTAAAAAATTTGTCATCCTATCATAATTTTTTATGAAGTTCCCTGTAGTATCCAATGCTGTGACTCTCTTTCTAACACTTTAGCTTCAGTGTTTGGTGGTGCAACTTCTTGGAAGTAGCTGTAGGTAGATAAAATATGTGCTTCATTCTCTGGCATTGGTTTTCTCCTAGGATGCTCTATGGGCTTGTCTTATTACTTCATTTCAGTTTAAGTTGGTACCAGATCAGCTTCTGGTGAGACTCTGGTCCTGCTACAGAGACCAAATTTCATGCTAAAAATCACCTGTTTCTATTCAAGTAGCACTGGAGCAATAAATAAAATAGAAGGGTTAGGTTTTACTGGCCACTGCATTTAGCCAACAAAACCAAGTCACAGAGAAAATAACTTGTGTGCATAGTCACCCATTTCTAACCATCGCAAAATTCACTTCCTTCTGGTAATTCAGGTCTAAATGGACTTAATGTGGAAAAGTATCAGTGACAGACAGACATACACCATCCATGGCCTTGAAGACCTCTTACTTCAAAGAGATACAGTTGACCCCACTTACTGGAATACACATCAGACCAGTTGTCTATATTCTGTTATCAAGAGTGTTTCATTAACCTAAACAACTATGCAATACTCTCAGCGTTTTTTGCAGAAAAATGGATGCTGGTAGATTATTTTTTAAAGCTATTTGAAAATTGCAATATAGTTTTTAGAAAAGTTGATATATAAAGCAAGTTATTCCAATAATAATGGAATGTTCTTCATAATGCATTCAATGGTTAAGAAATGGGAACTACACAATGGCATTTAATTAAGAAGTTTTCCAATAATTGGAGTTTATTGCAGAGTAAATTAGACACATTCCAACTCCCTTAAGCTTTAAATCTGTCTCCTCACTTATGTGTTGAAATTGATAGATATGGGATCTATACCATTCTAAAAGAAGTTACACTCACTGTCCATTCTTGTTTATAAACCAGATGGTCAGTGTAATTTGATTGCAGATTGCATTTTTGTTGCATTCAGTCATGTCAGGAGTGAACTTTAGAGCAGGTTAAGAATTAGTCTCACTTTCATTACTATTTTTATCTTTTCAAGTTCCAAACCAGTAATCCAAGTTGTACAAGAGCGTGATGTTATCATTTTTCCTGGAATAATAGGATTGGCCCTATTCTATTAGAGATCTCCATGTACATTACCATGTAGAGTGCACTTGACAAAATGTACTGAAGGTTGAGGCCATCTATATCTATAAGCAAGGATCTCTGTCTGTCTCTTTCATTACCATAATATGCATGAACTAACCTTAACATACCATATTTCCATCATCTGGATCAAAGAATGAACAGAGCAGTGCTCCCGTCCCCGTCGGTCTGGCCGGACTTAGACAAATAAGCACTAACAAAAGAGCACATAAAAGAACAACAGTTATATTACTCCTAAAAAATCTCCCACTCCCGGGCAGCCCAGCTTGTAATTGATAAATGCTTTATATTTATAAAAAAAATTTTACCCTTATTTTGTAAGAGAGGGTTTGTTTGTTCCTGCTCTGTTCACCTTATTTGGTGACCTATGATCTTAGCATACCCTTTTTTTTCATTCAAAATTGATCTATCCCCTTTCTAACTCTCAGGAGAGATTCCTGTATCAGAGACGTACGAGATAGGGCCTGTTTTTGCCTGCTATGCACTCAATGTATCACCCTTTCGGATGTATGCCCTTTTCAAGAAGTCCATCACTCCGCATCATATGAGGTGAGTTCTCATTTCTACCATTTAATGTGCAGCCCAATTTCCCTTTCATGCAACTCAACCCAAGTTTTAACATGGGCCTTGGTATCAGGTGTCAATGAGATGCAACATGGTAATGTAGCTCACTCTAAGTTGAAGAAAGTATTATGCTCCAAAAAATTTGAGGGCTTCTGATCTAAATCCACTACATCCTTATTTCTTCACATTTCTCCGCCCTTTGCTATTGTGGTATCTACTTTCAGAGATTTTCATAACGAGCACTTATATGGGACAATTTTTGAAAGAATACATGAGGTTTTGATGCAGACAGCCAATTTATTCTCTATCATTGTTCCTTTAGTCTACTTTCTGCCACCAACAATAATTTGAGCCTGGGAAATGAAATCCTATTGGTTCTTTTCAGAGGTAAGTATGTAGCCAAACCCCATTTCCTTTTGCAGCTTACTTGCTTTCTTCGTTTTTCCAGGGGGATGAAATTTCACCTGATGATGGAAATGTTCTGCAAATTTTTTTTCAGGGTCGCATCGAGGCACACCCTGGAGAAAATTCTCAAAAGCAAATTGGTGACCTAAGCTGATACTGATCAGATGAGTTACACTGAGAACCATACTGTGATTCCATGTACAAACTTTTTGAAAGTTCATCTTCTATCCTTTTTCACTTTTCTATTCACGTTTGATTTTTTTTCACCAAGACAATCAATAAAGGGTTTTCTATTGCCCTATGCTTCAATATAAGGAAATTACTGATACTCATTTTATTGCTCAATGTGAGTGAAAGGTTCACTCCTTCAAGGAGCTTGATTGCTTCGCGGGGCAAAGGACGGAAGACACTTCCCATGCAGCACTTCTCTTAAAAGAAAAGCCTCTCTTAAAAATTATTGGTTATCCACTATTGTTTATCCAGTACTGAGATGCATGAGAGACCTTCAGGCAGCTGCCTCTTCTTATAGAAGAATAAAATGGAGCCAATATTACTGCACCAGTTACACCATTTCAGGTGACACTTGCATTTAGATCCATTGGGAACAAAACCACGTTTGCCTCTTTTCTCTTATAAAAGAAAAATTATCTTGCAGCGCTGTGAGATCAACACCTGAGGAACAAACTCTACTAGTATTCTTCAAGAAGCACAAAGTGAATTAAATGAGTTGGGCGACGGTGACTCATTCAGTGATGTGCATGTGGTCACACTATGGTCTACGACCATGCGCATCCATGACATGCAGAAAAAGACCAAGTTGGGCGTTTCTCCCCCTTCCCCGACAAATGAGGACTGCGTTGATGGAGTTGTCTCCCGTATGTCACCTCTATTACGCGAGGGGGAGGAACATCCACCACGATGTTATCCTCATCCACATCCCATCAGGGAAAGGACCACTTTTTTTTCGCCCCCCTTCCCCTATCTCTGCAGTGTGAATGAAGCGAAATGGGATCCCGTGTTTAGCCTTTCTACTAAGGATGAAAGAAAAGATCCGTATCTCATGGCCTGCCATATGCCACGGTTCATCAACCTCATCCCCCACCCCCAGCCTGGATCCGGAAGCGAAGATTCATTATACAATAATGAGTTACATCGGGGACGGGAAAAAGGGAAAGGAGACGCGAAAGAATGCGGATGAAAGTTGATCTTTCATTTTCCGCCCGTTGCCCCCGACGCGAGATGAGAGATGATGAAGAAACGCGTCTCCGCGAATCAGCACGGCCGAGGCATCCGAGCGAAACAACACCATTTTCCTATTTATTATATTATATACATCATACCGCGCATCCCAGACGTTTCCCTCTTCCCCCCCCCGAAGAGAGTAAAACCCCGGGCTTTTGTCGCTTTGTCGGCCCCGCAAGCCCCCTAAGAAGCCCCCAAGGATTATACATGCTTTCCCTCCATTGGAAATTCCTCCGATGCAGTTCATACAAACACGGAGGGGATTAAACGGCTTGCTCGCTTCTGTTGACTCACCTGTTGCCTTCTCGGGAATCAGCAGGAGGCGAATGAAAAGCTTTTTCAAGCGCAGTCCATTCAGAAGCTGCGAGTATTGATGATGGGCTCCTTTTCTCCCCCCCCCCCCCTCCCCCCTCCCCCCGTTTTCTGCTACACTTGTCCTCATTAATTTCCGTCTTTTCCGTCAAAACGACCCTCGAAATCCTCGAGGAGCCTCGCAAGGGCCTGAGGGCGAAATCGCTTCCCTTTTTTTTTTCAGAAAAATGTTGAAACACGTTCGATGCGGCAGGATACAGCCCAATCGATCCCATCGGAGTAAACATTTTTTTAGATTATTGAAAATCCGGAAACTATAAAACATTCTGCCGATCCTTCCCTCCCTATGTCGACCTTTGAGGAATTCCGAGTGCATTCGAGAAGAGAGCCATCTCAGCCTCGTAAAATGCGTGGGAAGAGAAACCGATTACTAAGAAAAATAGTGTATTGACGTTGAACTCTATTAAATCCGCGATAGGACGGAGGTTTTTTGTCCTGACCTGAAAAAAAGCAGCGGAACGTTGTCCCCTCCACGCCTTCACTCGACCGCCACCAGATGTCTCTGGCGAGAGGACATAGAGTCTCTCTCTTCCCCCCCCCCCCCCCCCCACCCCCACCTCCCCCTCGGAAATTCAGATTTGCGAGTAAACTCGAAAGAGATCAGACGCAACTCGGGAGTTTGGAATCGCTCCCGCTGCCCCTGCGGCACGCCTCAACACGACCGACGGAGCCGTCAACAATCTCGGCGGGGCTCAGTCAGGGAGAAGGCGGGTGATCCGAGTCATGGGGGGGGGGGGGGGGAGGTTTCCAATGTCGACAAAGATGTAACATTTTTCATCGATCTTGCGTTTTTTTATAAAAGAAAAAGAATAAACTTATGGGACCACCATTCATATCAAGGAAGTTTGCTGGTGATTCGTGTCGACAATAACGCCACAAACTCAACAGACTGCGTTGGCAAATTGCCATGGAAAATAAAACGGAAACTCGTCACGGAAATATGTCCAAAACGACTTCAACTCATTTTCTCTGGAGCGATTTTGGCAAAAAAAAAAAATTTTTCGCGAAACTTGCTCCGTGCAAATGTTGATGCTTTCCTCGACAGACTTCGCGAATTTTCACGAGCAATTATCGAAAAGAAACCGGAAACAGAAAGCGAACAGGGGACTTTCCCGAATCCCCGAAAAAAAAAGGGGGAAATGGAAACCATCCGGAGGAAATTGAATCCGAGTCGTTCTCCTCCGTTCTCGACCTCGAAATTATTTTCGACGATTGCCCAACTAAAACAATAATTTATTATTTATTAATTATTTTATTATTTCTTTATCTATAAATAATAAAATTAAAATAAAATGGTAGTGAGATCCGCGGCGAATTTAAGGCTCGTGCAGAAATGAACCTTTCGAATTTTTGCAGCAGCAACGAGAGAGACCTGGAAAGGCCTTGAAGGACCCTCGAAGGATCTCCGAAGACCCTTGAAGGACCCTTTTTCAACCGGTTTCTCGAGAGGAAGCTCCACCACCTTGAAAATGACTTTGTCGCCGCGAATCGCGGAACCTCCCCGTCCACACACCCGCCGGATCTCGCTTCCGCAGAGGATCCAGTCGGCATTTATCCGGCAAGCATTTATCCAGCCGGGATTTTCCCGGAGACCCGCTTCCGTCAAGATTCCTTAAATGCCTCGTGGGCGTCGCAATCCCGCCGGTCTCGATTCTCTCGTCCGCGGGGAAATTTAGATCGAGTAATTAAATATGTAAATTTCCGCTTCTCGGTAGTATCAGCGAAAAGACGGATTTCGTAACTCGTGGTAGTCGCGTCGACTCGGGAGTTTTCGTCGCGCAAACGAAGCGGAAGAATCGTTGAACTCTGGTTATTCAGAATTGCAGATCAGACGCGGGAGGAAATTATCGCCTTTTTTTTTACCGATTCGGCCGTGTTTTTTTTTTTTTTTTTTTTTTTTTTGCACGGAGTTTCGATGTGGGCGGGCGATCGGCGGGACTCGGCGTCGACGCCACCAGAGGGCAAAGACCCCCCCGGACACGTGGCCGGAGCCGGACGGAACCGGACGAACCGTGTCGGGTGGACGCGCTGATTTTCGCCTAAATCGGCGGATCTACGGAAACCCGGACGAAGGCTCTTTGCAAGGCCGCCGACGATCCGATTCCCGCTGTCTCTCATCCGATACGTACGGAGTGAAAAAATAATAAAAATAACGGGAACGTAAGCTCGGCATTCGCGTGCATGCCAATTTTCAGAGCTAGCACACCCATTAAGGGTGACAAAGGGCGAAGACCGGAGCTAATCTTACCTCTCTCCCTCATTCCCCCTCACCCCCCTCAGTCTCCCTCCCCCCCCCCCTCCCCTTCCCCCCCTCATTACGCCTCCAAATTTGTTGAGGGAACTGATGGCTTGATCTGTCCAAATGTGCAAACTCCCTTTCACCCTTGTGAAACATAATCGAAAAGAGGCCCATTTCATGGACCGGACATGATCCGGCCTCGAGAACCCGGAGGCCGGATTCCACTCGCACAATGGGCAAGGGAGCGATGAGACGCATCGCATTATGCGTCCCCCGTCGTTTGTCGTGATGCAATCAAGGAACGAGTGACCACTTCATTTCATTCTGGTTCCATCTGTCACCCAATTAGGCCCTTGTCGGCCCTCGTCGGCCTTCGTCGGCCCTCGTCTCCTCGGAATCCTCTCGATTCCGTCTGCCTCCACCTCGACGTTAAACAGGAAATGAGTCGCGCGGTGGCAGTACTGCCCCCCCTCTGCCCCCCCCCCCCCTTTGCCCCCCTCTGACCCCCTTCTGACTCAAGGCTTCTCTCGAGACATTCAGGCCGTGACTCACGACTTCTTTCGTGAGTCACGGCTCACACAGCACTTCTCGCGGTGCTTCTCGCGACCGCGGCAACAACACAATCCTCACGCTCGCGATCCTCATCTTTATTTCCCAGCAAATATTTCCATTTCATTATAATTCAAGCAGGAAGGAAAGTCTTTCCCCGCCGCCCAAGGCTCGTCTCGACTCGACTCGCCATTTCTAAGTGAGAATGATTAGCGGCACATTCGCGATCGAATGACGGTGCACGATCGTGATCCCTCCAGCGCTAACGAACATCAAATCGAGTGAAAAATCATTTTTCCCTCGCGATCGTGAGTGAAAACCGGCTCACTCGCATGCCTTCCTTCCCCACCTTTACTTCTTTATTAACCTTCATTCTCCACCTTCATTCTCCACCTTCATTCTCCACCTTCATTCTCCACCTTCATTCTCCACCTTTATTTCCCACTTCATTTTACGACTCGGACTCGTGCAGAGAAGCCATTGAAAAAGCCTCTCGAATGGCGGTTGGGAGCGGCCAGAAACCCCTCGGATCCTCGCGTCCACTTTCACGAGTCCGAGCGCACGGCACGGACCCCCAAAAAGGGACTCATTCAGGTGCGGCGAGGAAAAGAAAACATCGCCACGTCCGACACACATTTGTAAACGGCATTGTCGCCTCTGTGTCCAGCTGCCACCTCCGACACGAAATCTGCGGGGGGAAGCCGAGGGGGGGCAGGGGGGCAGGGGGGGAGGGAATTCTCTGCGTGTCGAAAGGCAGCCGCGGAAACACGACGTCCTAATTGATGGGCTTTGATGAATGACCATTTCACGCACATCCCCCCGTCATGATTTGATCCATCTTCATTCTCGTCGTCCACTCGGGGAATTGATGGATGACCCGCTC